AGTATATTTTTATTTTATTTTTAGAGAGTTAAAAGTAGGGAATCAAAATGGCGCCCAAAACAATTTGAAATCAAACGATGTTAAAAATGATATTTTTTATTTGTGCCACATCTCGTGACCCCCTCCTTAAGAATGGAGGACTTTCTCCGCAGACGAGAGAACAGAACGAGGTCATCCGGAAGTATCGGCTGATGCGTTTCCTGCCCCTACTTGGCGTCTGCTTCCACTGACTGACCTTCTGCCTAACCCCGCCCACATCATTCTTTCCCCGAATTTTCCTATTTGTTTTCATTCTATCCTTCTTACCTGTCTGACAAATTTTGAGGGAGGTGCTGTTATTCTTTCCTGGTTTGTTTCTTTTGGCAGCGTATTCCTTTCCTTTTTCCCCTCTCAACATATACTTTAGAATTTCCTCCGCACACACATGACGTGACCCTGCTTTTTTCCCCGATTTAGCTATCCATCCATTTCAAATAAATATGCAGCAGATACCTTCAAGGAGGATATTTTGGTGGTCTTTAGAATCAGATAGATGGGAAGGAAATCTACTTACTATTTGCGAAAGTTTTCACCTCTTTTTTTTCCCCTAGTTACTTTTTCCTTCAGGTAAAGAAAGTTTTTTTTTAAACTTTTGTTAAGAATATATTTTTAAAATATTTTGCACGAAACACAATTTTTTTTTCTTCTTTTGATTGGAAAAATGAATTTATTTAACGATATTTGCTATTTTTAAAGCTTATTAAATTTCAAAAAAAAAAAAAGCATAAATTCATAGAATATTTTTTAAACATGCATTCATAAACTCTGAGCATAACGTTTAAACATTTAGTCTTATGCATCTTCTACAAAATAAGTACAATATATATATATGATAAATTTATATTATAAATACCAGACACACATTTAAAAATGACTTTTCGCATTATTTATTTGTGAAATTACTGTGGCGCTCTATGTATTTTGTTGTTGTTTTTCTATTTTATAAAATACAAATTTGTTTAACCACTAAACGAAAGAATGAACATTTTAAACAAAAAAAAAACATTATCAATAATTACTCTAAATATCAATTTCCTAATTAAGAAGCAAAATTCAGACGATATAAGCAAAACAGACGATATAAATAAAACAGACGATATAATATTTGTAGCGATCTGGTAGATCGTATTGAGACTGCTGGGAGGATTAATCATTGATGAGCCAATCCACCCCAATATATATCATTCTTTAGTGCTTGTAGAAATATTTACTGTAAAATAGAACAAAAATATACAGAGGGGATAAATATTATTAATATTTATCACACTAAATATACTCTAGTTTTTATTTATAACCTTTTTTGACACCTAAAATTATAAAATATGAACATATAAATGATTATTTTCGTGATAAAATCCACACAAGAACGTAAAATTTTGAGGCAGACATTCTGGCGCCAATGTTGCCAAAAAATAGGAACTAATGTTTACATGGTACGGCCGTAGGATAAATACGAACATATTAAATCCTATAATAAAATGCACTTATTAAAATATTTTTGATCAAGATATGCTTTAAAATTCTTATACAACTTTATGATAATTTTTAAAGCATACTATAATATAAATTATATTATTTAATTCACGTGAAGAATATTTTCTAATTATAAATTAATCAAGGTAGTGATGTATTTATAATAGAGAGATTGAATTTTAACTTTTAATCTTCAAATTCGCTACCTTTGCCCATCTTTTGTAAGGAAAATGACAATGAAGGATTGAATTAGCTATATCTTAAAGGGTAAAACTATAAGCGCTAGAATTATATTATCAGTTTCAAAATATATACCTTTTACCTAAATGCTACTTGAAATGTATAAGACATAGAATTAATATCGAATGTACAATGTATAATTTATATAGTATTATATTAAGTGACAATTGAACACTAAATTTAATTACTAAATGCGTTAATTTTAATTAATTGTTTTATGTGTATTATATATAGGTTTTTAACTTTTAATTAGACAATTTTAATTTATATTTAGACATTTTTCATTTTAATTTAGACACATGGACTTTTTATAGAAGAGTCAATGTGCAATATCTTTGTACCTTCTTATTATCAGAAAACCTTTATTGTCTTTATAATGTCTGATACATCTTTTGTTGTTTATTTGCAAACCGCCAAAAATGACAAAAACAAATCAAAAAGGGATGATGATAACCTGCGTCTTGCAGATTAACATTTTCATAGAAACATATATATACATATTTATTACTAGCTATATATCACAATGTGTCTAAATTAAAATGAAAAATGTCTAAATTAAAATGAAAAATGTCTAAATTGAAATGAAAAATGTCTAAATTAAAATTGAAAATGTCAAAATAAAAATGAAAGTGAGTAAAATGAAAAATGTCTAAATTTAAATTAAAATTGTCTAATTAAAAGTTAAAAACCTATATATAAATATATACAATTTAAATATTGACTCCAATACGAAAATTGAGAAATAATCAAGAAAAAAATTCCCGTTCTATTTCTTTTATAAATTCATAATTAATGTTTCACCTTTTCTTGACCTTTATTATATAAAATAAAATAGTCTAGAAACTCGTATGTCAATTTCTATTCATTTCCACCCCTATTTGCCTTTGCCTTGATTACATTTTTTAGAAAATATTTAATTCTCTGATAGAAAGGAGACAATTTCTGCTGAAATTGTTACTTTTTTTTGGGGGGGGGGGGGTCGTATTTTCAATTTAATTTTCACATGTTTCAAAATGTTGTGAAAGACATTGAATATATTGCAATTTACCTTATGATATAAATTTAAAATATATTTGGATTAATAAATTTTAAAAAATATATTTAAATGAAAAATTTTATATCTAAGACTTTTTTTTATTATTTTGTTAATTATTCTAAGAATATTTTTTTAGAATTGAATCTAAAAATTTTACTCCCAACTTTAATTTTTTTTTTTAAGTTTCAAAAATGTATAAGTTTACTAGAAATTATTCAAAGAAATCACTTTAAAGATCGCAAAGCGCAAATTACGCGCGCAAATAGTTAGCTAGCGATTGAACATTATTTCACCAGTTGACCTAAGTCTGGTGTCTCACCTTTCATCATTATAATCATGAACAACTAGCTGCATGTAACCCGGTCGTCTGAAGCGTACAGAAACTATCCGGGTTTGTTTTGTAGAATCGTGCGTTAATTGGGCGCTATAGAAAATCCATCAAATCAACTTCTGCTGGTCAGTATGCATCCCACAAAATCGTCTTACGCAGTTCAAACGACCAGTACGTAAAAGACGTCTCAAATATACAATTAAACCTGTCTATAACACCCCCTCTTCTATAGCATCCTATTTTGGTGAGTCCCAAGAGGGAGCGCTATAGACAGGTTTAACTGCATCTGTTAGTTTCCTGGTTAGTAAATAGGTATATAGATATCCGGTCACCCGGTGCTGCTCACCTGATCTGTATGTAAATAAAGATGTCTGGTCACCCGGCGTTGATCAATTGGTCAATTAGGCTTGTAAGTTACTCTGCACTGGTGTAGGTGAGTAGTACTGGCCATTTACTACTGGCCAGTGAGTAAAGTGACCCGTTGTCAGTTGGGAGGACTTCTGGTCAATTGGTACTGGTCAGTTAATTAGGACCCCTGGTCACCTAGCACTGGTCACTAAGTAAAACTCTGGGGTCATTTGGCACTGGTCATTAAATTAAAAGATCGGGTCGCTGGTCAGTAAGCTAGGACTTCTGGTACTGGTCAGTGAATAAAAAACTCTGGTCACTTGTGAGCAAGCTATCTGGTCATTTGTCCGTAAGACCTCTGGTAATTTGTCCGTAAGATCTCTGATCACTTGTTAGCCAGACCTCTGGTTATTTGGTACCGGTCAGTAGGCTAGGACTTTGGTTACTGGTCAGTATATGAATTCTGGCCGCTAGTCACCTGTAATCAAGATCTCTGGTCACTTGTAAGCAAGATCTCTGGTCACTTGTCCTTAAGATCTCTGGTCACTTGTCCTTAAGATCTCTGGTTGGCACTGGTCACTTGTTCGTAAGATCTCTGGTCGCCTGTCAGCAATATCTCTGGTCACTTGTCACTAAGAGCTCAGGTTGGCACTGGTCAGTACGGCCAGAGTGTGGTCAGCGAGGTGGCCGGGAAGTGCCGCTCTAGGTCACTGGCCGCCCGGCTTCCTTCCTCCTTCCAAAACGGAAAGTTCCGGAAGTTCAGTCGGAACCGGCTCCAGCGTTTCCTTCTCCGTCTGCGGCAGTTGGCTTCCTCCTCATCCCGCGCAGCAGACATTTACAGTACCTCAAACCTTTATTTCCAGTTTCGTTTGGACTTCTTTCCGGGAAAGAAAGTATTACGACCTTCATATGGGTCATGATGAGTTAGTACCTAGCGGTGCTCGCACGAGCTGATATGAGCTGTCAGTTATCCCCGGCATTTCTTGATGTATGGCAGGTCATGGCAGACTTCCTTGGTGAACCCATGTTCGGCATATTCAACCACAGAAAAACACGTTTATATCGTATTTATTTCATCTTCACTCGGAAAATATTTAGGGTATTTTATTCTACACATGACGGTAGCTCTTATATATATAAATTATACTTGTTCATTATATCAGGAATGATATGTGAGACTTCCACCTTTTCCATTACTGTAAGTGCAATCGAAGCAGGAAAAGGTCTTCAATGGTCAAAATAAACATTTTTCAATATAGATAGTACACGTCTAGTATTTATCCGACCCGTCAATCACTCAACAACTTTCTAATCAAGTATTGTACATCGCATTGGGATTGATAATTTTGAAAACACTGCCTAATCTTTGAGATTATACATTTTCGTTTTTTAGAAATCGCAAATATATTCTTTCCTGGAAAAGTCCTTGCGATGATATAGGCCAGTTTGGAGAGCACAAAGCCGCAGAGTATCAAAAATATATACAGTTAAACCTGTCTATAGCGCCCCCTCTTGGGACTCGCCAAAATAGGGTGCTATAGAGAGGGAATCGAACCCACAATGTTCCGCTTACCGGGCAGATGCCATATCCACTAGGCTACCCTGGACTGGAGGGGGTGCTATAGACAGGTCACTTTTAATGTAAAATGTTTACATTTTAATGTTTAATATCGGACGCTATAGAGATGAAGGCGCTATTTAGAGAGGAAGTTATAGACAGGTTTAACTGTATATATAAAAATTGAAAATATGTTAATAAAATAATGAATATGCTTCAACATAGCTCCTTCTCTACGGAGGCTGTGACTCACAGCTTGCAAATCTTGTTTTTACTGACATGGATCTCACGTATTTTGCCAAAGATTTCCTTGAAGTCTTGGAAATTTTATTCTAGTAGCTTTGCGTCCATTTTTTTGCGGCATAAAGTAGAACTTTGTATAATAATATAAAATATTTGGCTACAATATCATCAACTTCTAAAATCCCTGGCATTTTTAATCTATTAATGGACTTTAGACTATGAAGAATAGATGCAGGGTCATATCTTTGTTCGAAAATTACTAAAAGATATTATTCTGTTTTGAAAATAGAGCAATCCATAAATAAATCTTTAATTAAAAAGGCATATATTGGATCAAAATATCATTTATTTTACCAATATTTACCTAAGTCTTTTTAAAAACTTAATGCTGTTGACGTTATGTGGCGCTGAGTTTGTTGTCGACACACTTTAAAATGTTATAACACCTGGGTAAAGGTTGGCGTTCAGCCAACTGAAATATTGGTAAAATAAATGATATTTTGATCCAATATATGTCTTTTTAATTAAATATTATTCTGTGTAAAATCCAAACGTGAATCAGCGTACGATGTTTAAAAAATAAATACTCCTAGGTAGAAAATTAATGATGTTGTATGAAATTTTTCAAACGTTTTTTTTAAAGGAATCATCTAATATTTTTGCTCTAACTATATTAAAAAACAATAATATTTAATCTTACACGTAATAAATATATATAAATCTTTCCATTATCGATAATTCTAGAAAAAAAAAATCTAGTGTAAATTATAGATTCAATTATATATTTATTTTAAATAACTTTGTAGTATTTTATAAGGAATAATGTATTTCTCATAAAGTTTAATTGATTTTAGTTAATTTTTCTTATTTAATTCATCATTTAATTTTTTAAATTAATTGAATAATGAACATTTATATGTATATTAAAATAAACGGTATATTTATATATTTATTATATATAAATAGATTTTTTTAAATTTGATTTTTCAATCAAAGCGAAATAAAGGGGTAAAATTGAACCAAACGAAAATGTCCTGATATTGTTAGCGCATGCGCTACCACCCCTGGTCGTCTGCGGGATAACTTCCGGCTTGACCACTGACCCGCTAACACTCTGCACACGTGAATGGCTGCCTGCTATATTGGCCAAGTTGAAATATGATGTTCATTTTGGATTATACATATCGTGTGTATGGGTTGTAAATTAAAGTGTTTTAAACCTATATTTTATCATAATTTTATTTTATTATAATTGTAGAATAGTGCTTTATAGCGTTGTATATTTAAATAAAATTATATTTTATATATATAAATAATTTTGAAAATAGATCTATAAATAGATCTTTAATTAAAAATGCATATATTGGTTTGAAAATAATTCGTTCAGACAATTGAAATATTGGTAAATTATTGTTTTGCACCAAAATATGCCTTTTTAGTTAAATATATAAATTAATGATGATAAGTTGTTCGTTGAATATACTTTATATAGGAAAATTAAATACTCTTGTGCAAAATTCTAATTTATAAATACATACCAAAATAAAAAATATATATAAATATTGATTTCCCAAGTTTTTTTTGTTTTTTTTTTTTTTTTTTAATAATTGATTCCGTAAGAATTTACCATGGTATATATATAATTTATATTATTAAAATATATATATTTATTGTAAATTATATATATAATTTTATCAATCTTTTTTTTAAAAATATTGTTTTTTTTTTTATTTGAAGACAATAAAATTTGGAAAGTTAAAAGTTCCGAATTAATGGCCTTATTTGAGATAAGTTCAAAATGCAAAATTCCTTTTAAAGTTTCGTTTAATGCATAGAAATCTTTTCAAATTTCACTCAAAACTTTTTGTTCAACCTTTTATAAGGGAGTGATATGCGTCTTTGAGTGATTTTTGGTAAATAACTCGATATTCATTCAGGCAATTCAGATTCTGTTTGGACTATAGCGTATGAAAAATTTAGAGAAGGTTTAACTGGGTTAGAATTCAAACTGTTATGCACGACTCCATATAGGTTATATGCCAGCTACGTTAAAGTGCTGGTTTTATCCAGTATTTTCCGGAGGTCACCTACAGAGAGGTGTAACTTTGACCTGGTATTAAACTAGGATAAGTAAAAAAAAAATTAGAATTCAAACTGATATCTGTTAAGGAACTTGTAGACAAAGATATTGATAATGATAATCTTAGTGACCTTCTATTTCCAGTAAAAAAGCTTCATTCTTATCTCCACTCAATCATACGAGTAGAGCTTGACTTTTAATGGTGTCTGCTGGGGATTAGTAGAGTTCATCAATGGATGAATAAATACAGTAAATAATGTGGTTTAGGGTTGCAGGTTTAAAATTTTAGAATTGCTAATAGTAAAACGTTATATATTGCACAAAAGAGAATACTTCATTAGTTTTTTTATAGGAAAACTACACCAAAATTTTCAGTGAGGGTTATACAATAAGCCATATTTTTCCAAAGAGAAAAAAGAAATTGAAATATCTCATTATATCTTTGAGTGCCAGTATATTAGCGAAGAAAGAGAGATGTTTTTCTCAAAAGTAAACGACAGCCAACTTACTTCAGTACAAAGTATTTTAACCAGCGCCATATCAAGTCGAATGGTTGTTCTGTCCCTGTATAACTTTTACAAAGCAGTAAGTAGGAACTTGATTTATCGTTTTCTCCTCTACTACATGATGGTGATTGATCACCGTGAGGATATCGTTGTAAGCCGGTAATGAAAGAGGAGAATCTGTATAAGACTGGTGTCTTAATAAAGGTTTTGTGGGTGTTTGTAACATATAGAGGACATACTACATGATGGTGATTGATCATTGTGAGGATATCGTTGTAAGCCGGCAATGAGAGAGGAGAATCTGTATAAGACTGGTGTCTTAATAAAGGTTTGTTGTGTGTTTGTAACATATAGAGGACATACTACATGATGGTGATTGATCACCGTGAGGATATCGTTGTAAGCCGGCAATGAGAGAGGAGAATCTGTGTAAGACTGGTGTCTTAATAAAGGCTTTGTGTGTGTTTGTAACATGTAGAGGACATACTACATGATGGTGATTGATCACCGTGAGGATATCGTTGTAAGCCGGCAATGAAAGAGGAGAATCTGTATAAGACTGGTGTCTTAATAAAGGCTTTGTGTGTGTTTGTAACATATAGAGGACATACTACATGATGGTGATTGATCATCGTGAGGATATCGTTGTAAGCCGGCAATGAGAGAGGAGAATCTGTACAAGACTGGTGTCTTAATATAGGCTTTGTGTATGTTTGTAACATATAGAGGACATACTACATGTAATGATTGATCATCGTGAGGATATCGTTGTAAACCGGCAATGAGAGAGGAGAATCTGTATAAGACTGGTGTCTTAATAAAGGCTTTGTGTGTGTTTGTAACATATAGAGGACATACTACATGATGGTGATTGATCACCGTGAGGATATCGTTGTAAGCCGGCAATGAAAGAGGAGAATCTGTATAAGACGGGTGTCTTAATAAAGGCTTTGTGTATGTTTTTAACATATAGAGGACATACTACATGTAATGATTGATCATCGTGAGGATATCGTTGTAAACCGGCAATGAGAGAGGAGAATCTGTATAAGACTGGTGTCTTAATAAAGGCTTTGTGTGTGTTTGTAACATATAGAGGACATACTACATGATGGTGATTGATCACCGTGAGGATATCGTTGTAAGCCGTCAATGAAAGAGGAGAATCTGTATAAGACTGGTGTCTTAATAAAGGCTTTGTGTATGTTTGTAACATATAGAGGACATACTACATGTAATGATTGATCATCGTGAGGATATCGTTGTAAACCGGCAATGAGAGAGGAGAATCTGTGTAAGACTGGAAGCTTAATAAAGGCTTTGTTGTGTGTTTGTAACATATAGAGGACATACTAAATGATGGTGATTGATTATCGTGAGGATATCGTTGCAAGCCGGCAATGGGAGAGGAGAATCTGTATAAGACTGTGTCTTAAAAAAGGCTTTGTGTGTGTTTGTAACATATAGAGGACATACTACATGATGGTGATTGATCATCGTGAGGATATCGTTGTAAGCCGGCAATGAGAGAGGAGAATCTGTGTAAGACTGGTGTCTTAATAAAGGCTTTGTGTGTGTTTGTAACATATAGAGGACATACTACATGATGGTGATTGATCATCGTGAGGATATCGTTGTAAGCCGGCAATGAGAGAGGAGAATCTGTGTAAGACTGGTGTCTTAATAAAGGCTTTGTGTGTGTTTGTAACATATAGAGGACATACTACATGTAATGATTGATCACCGTGAGGATATCGTTGTAAGCCGGCAATGAGAGAGGAGAATCTGTGTAAGACTGGAAGCTTAATAAAGGCTTTGTTGTGTGTTTGTAACATATAGAGGACATACTAAATGATGGTGATTGATCATTGTGAGGATATCGTTGTAAGCCGGCAATGAGAGAGGAGAATCTGTGTAAGAATGGAAGCTTAATAAAGGCCTTGTTGTGTGTTTGTAACATATAGAGGACATACTACATGATGGTGATTGATCATTGTGAGGATATCGTTGTAAGCCGGCAATGAGAGAGGAGAATCTGTGTAAGACTGGTGTCTTAATAAAGGCTTTGTTGTGTGTGTGATGATGATGATGCTGTAAAGAAACAGATAACGATAAGAAAATATAGAGAGGGATAAGAGAAAGTTGAAGCCTCGTAGTTCAATACATTATCTTGAGATAAACATATGTTTTTAAAAGGACCATTTCGAAATACGCTT